TTAGCAATAAAAGCAAACAAATCTATGTTTTGGTTTGACAGGGAGTTGAGATGAGGAAAAGTTCAATAAAAGCAAGATAGAGTTACCTCTCTTTTGTCTAAAACTATAACTGTGCATAGATAAGTTCTATTAAAACTTTCATCAGAGTATATGTTTTTAGTGTATAAAAAACAAGTGGTGAATACATTTAGATTTTTTGATTCATACAATCTAAAATAAAATTTCAATTATTGAATTCAAAGTAATTGTACATGTGTAATTAAGCATGTGTACAGCAAAAAAACTTTGTTTGAGACTTCTTATCTTTTAGATTTCTAAAGAGGGATAAAGGGGGAGGGGAGGATTCTTTAGTTATGAATATTGCAGGAGATATATCTTTTATTTAAATCAGTAAAACTCTGTATCATGAACAATGATATCTCAAATATAATGGACATGTCAAAGTGAACTTGACATCAAAAGCACTTCTTGCTTTGAATTACATGTATTTTACTCTGTTATCTTGAAGAAATCGAGAAATATTTTCTCCGTCTGTGTAATCAAGTAAGAGGTTTGACTGTCTTTTCATTTCTTGCCTGATAAGATATACATTTTGAAAGTATTCTGACAGAGAAGAAATGGTCAGCAGGAAGGCACATAAATTTACATTTCGAAAGGAATCTAGATGGTAACTTACTTAATTAAGAAGAATACTTGTTCAAATAAACTCTTTTAGAAAATTTATACTAGACTGTAATAGACCAACTTTAAAATGTTTGTTTGCCTTCTCCCAACACAGGATGAAAAATTTGGGTTGAAGGGTATGTAGAATTATTTTTCACAGAAATTTTTCAAATCAATGCTTACATTTTATTGCAAAATCTATTTTCTGGAATGCATAAAAAATATTTTTTTCTTGGAGGTTAAGAAAGTCTTAAGTCAAACCATTTTATCCCAGTTAAACAGGAGATGGAAACCAAGCACATTTTTAAAGATGGCCTTTAATTTATTTTTTTAGAACAAGAAATTAGTTTTCCAGTAGCATATATTGTCACAGGAGATTTGATGAAAATTATGTTGAATGGAGGAGCCTGGAGGTCACACTCAAGATTCCATGCTTTTCAGCTTTTAAACAAAACAAGATTTTAAAATACTATGTATTTTTTTTTGTAAGGTCACATGATCCAAACTCCAGAGGCCAAAGTTTGTTCATTGCCAGCTGTTGTCGATAACCTTTCACCTTTTCATTCAAATTTCCTCTAGTGATTTGTAAAGGGTCAACCTTACGGGATGGAATCACAGTAGGGTTTAAAAGTTTTAAACATAGGAATATATATTAGGGAAAAATATTTGAAAATGTCTTACAAACAGGTGGGCCTTGATTATTAGCACTAATTTGCATTAACATCCTCAAAAGACTGCAGATTCTTGTTTTTTCAGACAGTTCCATTTTGGGTGGGGTGGGAGTACAAACAATTCTACATTTTGGTGTAAAACTTTAAACTTTGATAATATAGGAAAAAACCTGTTGTTTTAAATTTTGTTCTATGGAATGAAAAACCTACAGAGGTCTCTGGAATGACACCTGTAACTTTGCTTCTGTACATGTTTTGACTTGCAGTATGATTTGTAATATAACACATACATGTAGTCTAAGAAATATTTCTATAAGTAAACAAATACCAAGACACATATTTAAGAAGGAGCCCTCTTCACACATGCCTAATCTCCAGATTAACCCATAATTTATACAATTTCTAGCATCATGAATATACAATGTATGATACTAGTATACAATTTAAAAGTCAAAACTTTAATTTTTCTGGTTTTAAAATTGCTTAATAATAAGTTCTGACTTTAACTTGAATAAGAACTGAAAGAAATCTTCTTATTTTATCATATGTTCACAGGGATGGATCTAGAATGGTAAAGAAATGTTGGGCAGTTTGACTCTCTTCCTGTTGTTTTCAGATATTTTTAAATAACCCGGTTTAAGTTCCAGTGGAAGACAGATGTTCAGGCCTTGTGTGCCTTCAGTAGTACAGTACAGGGAGAATTAAGATAAGGTTTATATAACTATCGTAAAAAATGGGAAAAAAACATAGATACCCCCTGAGAGACATGAAGCTCTCTGGAAATGGTATAAGGAATAATGTAATTGATGGGAATTGACCCAAGAAAGTGTCCCAACCAGAGAAAGATTGTTTTTTGGCAAAATCTTTACATGTCTGCCATGTGGACCCCTTTCCCTAATGAAATTCTAGTGTCTCACTCCTTTTTAGCTCACCTTCAATTAATGAAGTGGACATGCATTGAAGATGCTTCTAGTGTGTTTCATTGTACCAGATAAAGTTTTAGATGCTGCAATTTCAGCAAAGGAACAACCAGGTTAATGTTTTTGGAGCAGGTGAACATTTTTGGTTCAGTTTTTGGTATAGGTTATATTTCCAAGTAACTACCGTATACACCCAATGATGACCAAACTTGCATTGATGATACATCAAAGGATGTAAACTATCAGGCCTGCTTCAGATGCTGGATCTGACCAACATTTTCTGGATGAAAACAGGTTATTGTTTTATTTGCAGGTGTCATTTTCATTAACTGCAATCTCTATGATGACCAAACGTGCATGGGTGTTACATCTAAGGATGCATGCATATGACCAGGCATGCTTCGGATGCTGGATCTGACCTACATTTTTTGGGTGAATAAACAGATTAATGTTTTGGGTGCAGGTCTCATTTCAAAATAGCTAAGGGCCTTATATTGACCAAACTTGTATGGAAGATGCATCTAAGATGCTGCAATCTGACGGACATTTTCTGTTTGAGTGAAAAGGTTTTTTTTTATATGCAAGTCTCATTTCCAAGTACCATGAGCCGTATGTTGAGCAAACTTCCATGGATAAAACATCTTAGGATGCACACCAATGGACTTGCTTCGGATGCTGAATCTGACTTATGTTTTATGAATGAGCGAACAGGTTGAAGTTTTTAGAGTAGGTTCATTCTAATGCAGGTATACTCTCTATGTTGAACAAACTTGTATGGATGAAACATCTAAGGATGCACACTAATGGACTTGCTTTGGATGCTGGGTCTGACACACACTGTCCAGATTATAGACCAGGTTAAAGTTATGGGTGCAGGCCTATCACCATGACAAGATGTCTTTGTAAAACATTGATGCCCACATATAACAAAATAGCAGATATTAAACTTTTCTTAAAAGCAAGTCAAATATATTAGTACCCAAAGTAGGGTATTCTCACAAGAAATACAATTGGGAAATATGAAAGCCCTGTCACCACCTGTTCAAAAGTTATGGCCATAGATAAGTTTTTGAATGGAAGGTCAAACTTCAGGGTCAAGGTCAAAGGGTCAAAGTTGTTGTTTTCTTAAGAAAGGTCTTGTCACAAGTATTACCTATGTGAAGTGCATGTGGAAGCCCTAGTCCTAACCCTTCAAAAGTTATGGCCAAGGTTAAAATTTTTAAAAAGTTAGTAGGTCAAACTCCAGGGTCAAGGTCAAAGGATAAAAGTTCTTGGTATCCAATAAAAGGTCTTCTCACAAGGATTACATATGAGAAGTATTGAAGCCCTTACCGTTCAAAAGTTAAGGCCAAGGTTAAAGTTTTTTCATAAGCACAAAAATCTCCAAGGTCAAGGTCAAAAGGTCAAGGTTGCTTAAAACTAATGAAAGGTTTTGCCATAAAGAATAAATTTGTAAAATATCAAAGTCGTAGTGTAGCTTCAAAAGTAAAAGTTAAATTTTGTGATAAAGTGGTCAAATTTGGTGGTACCTAAAGAAAGGTCTTGTCACAAGGAATACAATGTACACATGTTAAATATGAAAGTCGTAGCTCCACTACATCAAAAGGTATGGGCAAGGTTAAAGTTTAAAGTTTTTGCGGACAAACACAGACAGACAGACAGACAGCTAGACGCTAGACACGACAAAAACTTCGATTATGGGGGCATAGAAATATAATGCCTATATATTAACCAAACTTGCATGGGTGATGCATCAAGGGATAAACACTTTTAAATTAGCTTCAGATACTGGATTTGAATGACATTTTCTTGATGGGAGACTATTTCGATGTTTTTGGATAGGCCTATTCCCAAGTAAATGCAATCCCTATCAGATCAAAATTGCATAAATTTTGCATTTTGGGATGTAAACTTCTAGAATGGTAGTTAATTGTAGGACGTTTGCCTACTTAAAGACAGCATTTGTTGTGGTGAGCTCTGTAATTTCTGATTATCTATGATATTAAAACGCTTTCTGTCATGCTACCGTTAAGTATATTATCATGAGACTAAATAGGTATAGGTATAGTCCAATCATTATGGTATGAAAAAATGAAAATGATCACAGAATATTTATAAATTCTCAATGTTATATGTATATGTGTCCATTTCTTCAAAGTTTATCATTATGATTGACCATATTAAAAAGGGAAAATACTTATAAAATCTAAAATATAATTTGATTACATTGTGCATAGCTTTCATGACAAAAACAAAGAAAAGAACATGGTGAAATTCTCATATATACTTAATTCAAAGTAGACAGAACCATCCTCACAATGTCAAGGATTTGTGACTTGAGGGCATATCTACAGACAATTGCATTACTATATCCCCTCCATCTTTGCCAGGGGATAATTAACTGTACACCTAAACCAAGAGCTCTGGCTTTTTAAATGTAAAATTTTTAGCAACCAAAGAGATAAAAATTAGAGAAATGAACATGTCTCTATACATACATGGATATTATAAGATAATAAGTTAAAGTTACAGAGTTCAAATTATGGCTGTATTGCCATGTAACATGGACCATATCTCTTTATTATCTGATCAGAAAATGTGAGTAGAACTTGGGATTGCTTGATTGTGTCATAAGAAGTGACGTAGTATACCAGAATCTTTAACGCACGAAAGCCCCCCCCCCCCTCCTTCCTTTCTCTTAAAAAAATACATTGATTTCATGTGACAAATAACGAGACCGTATGACTTTGATGTCTATTTTTGCATTTTATTGCTTGTACATTAGTATATTTCAGTAGAAATAAGATACCCGGAAAACTGGTTGTAACTTCCTTGAAGATGTCTCCCGTCTTGTTCTTGTCTCGCCCAGACTTGATATCCTCGACGTAAAGCCAAAACCACGGTCTGTGTTCCTAAGTCATAAGGTGAATCACTTGAGAACACCCTGGAAACCATCTTGCCATTTTTGACTATTTCAATATGTATGTGATGGCTTGCATGGGCCATTGCTGCGCATGAAAAGACGTAAAGTCCATCTATTGGAGCTTTGAAATGTCCAGTCCATTTGTCGTAGCCGTTTCCATAATTGGTTACCACCTTGTCATACACTATTGTCTGCCTGGCTGACAAAGAGTGTTGATGTGAAAGTGTTGCAGTGAAACCAATGGCAGGATTTGTAACGCCTAGAATAACAATGAATAAACAATTGAGAGAGAGAGAGAGAGAGAGAGAGAGAGAGAGAGAGAGAGATTAAATTTTTAAAACAAATCTCATGACATACCTTGCTGTGCGATGATAGCCAACAAGAATAGAGACCTTACAAATTCAATTCCGACCATGTCTAGGTGAAAAACGATAAATAAGAAAGTGTACAGAAGGAAAAAAAAACGATCATACTTTAAGAATATTATAATTTGATATCCTATTTTTTAACTAAACTGGTCAGAGTTAATATGATTGTAAGGTATCAGTACGCATGCCTAACTCTTTGTCCGTCTGTAAACATTTTTTTCATCTCAAGAACCACTCGAATAATATCAATGAAACTTGTCACAAAGTACCCTTCGCTAAAGGGCATTCAAGTTTGTTTAAATGAAGGGCTATACTCATTCCAAGGGGAGAAAAGAAATAATGAAAAATTAAATACATGTAAATGTCATCTTTTAAAAATCTTCTTCTCAAGAAGCACTGGCCCAGAAAAGATGAATCATGGAAACAACCTCAGATAGTGTAGTTAATTTTTTTTTCAAATCATGACACCCGGGGATGGGGCGGGGCCACAATGGACGATCAATGTTTTGCATAGGAAATTGTAGGAAAAATGTTCTCTAAAAGAGCAAAGTCATCATTGGTCATGTTTATATGGACACATCCTCAATTAGTGTACATGTAGATGCATAATCAGTATTTGTTAAAATCATGACCCCTAGGGGTAAAATGGAACCACAATAAAATTTAAAACCTATAGGAAAAAAGCGACAGTCAAAAATTTGTAACCATCCCTAGTGTAGTTTCAAGTTTGCTTATATTCAAGCTTTTTCAAAGAATGCCCCCCCTTTTTTTTTTAGGGTCGGGACGACTTATGCATTCACTGAAATGATTTTTGCTCGTTCCTAGCCACATTGCTCAGTTGTTATTAGTAATGCAAATTTCAGTCGCGTACATTAAAAACATGACTCCTTTAATTTTGGTCGGATTCTAATATAACCTGACACAAAATTAGACACTTACATACAAGGATAATACATGTACATACCCGGGTATTTAATAGAGAATATTTTTTGAAAATTGAGAGAAATTTTACAATTTATGTCTTTGCAAGTTTTCGAGTCAATGTGCTATTCTTTTCTTTTGTTCAAAGTACAAATCAGTAGAGCTCCAGTCTTGTCAGAGAGCTCTGGTTTAACAAAGACCATTTTAAGAGTACTTAACACACACGTAATTATAAATGCATAGATTGGTATATGCATGTATATTTTTGACCGTTTTTGTTTAGAGATGACATATAATATAACAAATCCCTAAAATTTAAAAAAGCGTAAGTTTTCTTTTAATTTGGTTCTCACATAGGAGAGTTTGTTTCGCTTTTTTTGTAACTCTATACAAAATTTGCACTTCTTATCCTTGTGACAAAATCTTTTGAAATTCCCCCACTTTACCTGATAGGTGAAAACATTATTCGGGTTACCAAGTTTAATATAAATCTATGAGAAATATTGCTGATTTCTGAACAAAAAAAAATGTTGGCGTTATTTATCCTTAGTACTCGTAGCTTCTTATTTTTAATAAAAGCATTTTTATGAAAAATGTTTTTTTTTTAGAAAGCATTCTTACCGTTCAATATATCAAAGGTGTGATGAGTCTATCTGACGAGTATAAGTTAAAAAATGAAGCGCGCATGAATACAAAACTGGCAAAATTTACGGGAAATTGATCTTATCTTCACGCAATAAAGCGATTAGTTAGCAATTTGATATGCTTGCATTTTGAATGTTTGACCCAAAAAAGAAGTGTATTATGCAACAAGAAATAAATTAATCGAAGTAGGCTTACTGGTTGATCTTAACCTTGCTTCAAGATGTCACGAATATTTATCTCTGTTCAAAATTCCTCAAAAATCTTACTACAAATTTGTATTTGTCACAATTTGCTATAAATAATGACATCCTGTCCACCGAAAGCGGGTCACAATTCCTTGAATTGGCTCGTTTGAACTAGTCATGCATTTGAAAGTATATACATGTATCATAAACCTTTCTTCTAACGCGAAGAATCTTAAACTTAAGAATGATTGAATTATAATAATGTATTAACGTACCTGTTCTGAACACTTGGCCTGTCCATATGCCAGAATTGTTCTGAAAGTGTGTGTCGGTTTTGATTTAAAGATGAACACGTCATACTTAGGTGTTGCGTGATGTTTGACAATTTGAGCGATATTAACTTACGGAGATGCGTATAAGCTTCACTTAAGTTGAGAATCACTTTTTAATACATTACCCCCGTAATTTTCAAGACATTGTTCAATGTTGTAAAACGTGTCATTTAATTTCTTGAAGACATACATGTACTGCACATTGTGTTCAATGCCAAGCAAGCAGTGTTTATGCCCCCCCGCAAACGAAGTTTTTTTTTTTTGGGGGGGGGTTTGGGGGGTGGGGGTATATAGGAATCACATTGTCCGTCCGTCTGTCTGTCTGTGCAAACACATCCGGTCCAAATCATTCTTACAAAGGAAAATTAGAATCAAATACTGTAGATCACTAATTTTTCGCGACACCTTATTTTCGCGAGATAGTCATTGACTATTGATCAGCGAGACAAAATATTCGCGAAGTGTAGTTATTGCTCTATATAATCTTAAAGAATGCTATTATACGCGAGAATTGAATTTTTGCGAGCACAATGTCTCGCGTAATTACGCGAAAATAAAGTTCTCGCGAACAAAAAAGTGATTTACAGTACTTTACAGAAAGAGTGCTCATGACTAAGAAAGTGTTATCATCTTGGCTCAATGTCATTTGGGCAAGTTCAAGTTTACTGAAAGAAAAAAGATCATAATTTGTGTTCGTTCCATGAATCTACTATTTCACATGATCATGTGATTGACATGCTCTTGACCAAAGGTCATTTGTGCAGGTTCAAGGTCACAGAAAGAAAAAGTTCATAATTCTTGTCCAGTCCATATCTTATTGATAAACTTGATGAGTTCCCATTTTACACAAAGACTGCTCAAAACCTGAGGGTGTGTCATGACTTTGACTCAAGGTCATCTGTGCATGTTTAAAGTCACTGAAAGAAAAAGTTCATAATTCGAGTTTGATTAGTACTGATGTTTTACTAGGCAACCTCTTAGTTTCATTCATTAAAAATATTACGATCAATTACTAGTAAATTTTCACTCTTAATGTTTATACAAATTATGAACCAGTGACTTGGAACCTAATATGGAGAAAAAAAACCTAGCAGGGGTATTTGTCAATTTTGGACAGTTCTAGTTTGTTTTTGTTTTTTTCGAAATTTCCTCATGAAACATTCGTTCCTTGTGACAAAATCTTTTTTACTTTTTACTTCTCCATTTTTTTTTTACTTTTTACTTGCAACACACACAGCAGTATTTTAATGTACATTGTTTTTTATTTTTTACAGAAAATATCTCCATTTTTTTTTACATGAATCACGTTTATATTTTGATGAAAAAAATTATTTTAAAACTATCAATATAAATGATAAGACATTGACAGAGAATTTACCAATTGTAATACCACGGTCCGATTTTGTATTTGGCTTCATTCTTCTGCTTTTTATGTGTAGAGAACTACAAATTTATCAAAAATCCTTACGCTAATGAACTATGTTCTTTGACTTATGAAGTTTTCAAAGTCATTACTACTAAATAAATGTTTATTTTATATAGATAAACCTTCGTTTTATTTTTGTTGCTTTATTTAGCGTTTGTATTATCTCAAAAGCGGTTGAGAGTAAGAACTATACTTTTGCACGTAACTTTAAAATGGCGACTATGGGGTCAACATCCTGCCTTGAACATTTAAGCCGGCAATTGCTCTTTGAGCAATAAGCCCGGCTAAAAATTAATATTTTCATTTTTTTGGACCGTTTTCAAAGTCCTGTTTGCAATTTACCACATTTATTTTTTGAAACTAAAATATTTCTAAATCGATTTTGGTAAACAGATTTATCATAAGAATATCTTGGTCAAGTTCTGTTTTGGGTATGATCGAGCCATTTTGAGTTAAACCCCTTTTGACGTAGAAAAATTCTAATCATTAGGGGGAGGTGGGCATAAGTGTTTTATAAGCATCTCTTGTTTTCTTTTGGTCACATGAGCCACTCAGGTGACGTATTGCTATCCGTTTTTGTCCGTTGTTGTCCGACGTGTGTTAACACTTGAACATATTTAGCTTCTTCTCTAAAACCATTGAATCCAATTTCAGCCAGTTTTACCACATGGCATGGTATCTATAGGTAAATGGAAATAAAATTTCTGAATTTCATGGTCCTTGCCCCCCTCCCTCCCCCCTCCCCTCCTGGGACCAGGGGATGGGACGTAATTCATCAAAATTAGTGCTATCTTTAAAATTCAATTTCACTGCAGAATATCAAGCAGTCAAACTACTGGAAAGATCAAATAATCATTGAGTCCTATACGAAAATTGTGAAATTCATGGCCTCAAAGTCCGGGATTCTAGTGCTAAGGCGGGGCTATATAGATTACATAGTGAAATGCATTATTATCCCCTCGCGCAACTAGTTGCGGAGGGGATATAGCATCGCGAATGTGCGTATGTGTGTGTTAGTGTGTTCGTTACATCTTGTGGGCAAGATTGACAGAAAACCTTTGCATTAACCATTCTCAGCGTTTACATACTTGTGTGGCAGTATAAAAGGACGAAGCCTATTCATTTTCAAGTTCATTGATGAAATATTTCTTCAGATATCGCATCTTTACTACCTCGAAACCCTGACATTTTATGTACGAGTTGACAATAATCATTTGTGGGCATGACTGACAGAAAACCATTGCATTAACCATTCTCAGCGTTTACATACTTGTGTGGCAGTATAAAAGGACGACGCCTATTCATTTTCAAGTTCATTGTTGTAATATTTCTTCAGACATCGCGTTTTCACTATCTCGAAACCCTGACATTTTATGTACGAGTTGACAATAATCATTTCCGCTTGGGAACCAGTTTAAGAGCCAGTTTTAAAGTTTGAAAGGCGTGTCGAGTCTGAGGAACCAGATGAACGTCGCGGTTTGCCTTTCATTACTTAATTCCAACGGGTGTCTAAGAATTTGGGGTGCACGTTATTCCTGAAAACTGTAAATACAATCCACAAGTTCAATTAACCTCTCGATGTACATGTACATTGTTATTTTTCATTACGAAAAAAATGCATATTGCCTGGAACTGTGAGATATACTTAGGTAGGTAAATAATTAAAATTACTGAAACTTATACATATAGCATACGTGATATGTTTCTGCTAGGTATAAGAGAAACTGCCCAATTACGTATGCATATTATCCCCCTCCCCACCGAAATGCTATGCAATTTGATTTCTGTTAAAAATAGACATCCTTCACCCTTGATAATTTTGTTAAAAAAATAAATAGTGCTGAAAAACTATTTATTATCTTATATTAAACTTTACTACCCCAAATTAGGTATCCCTGTTATGCCCCCCCCCCAACCAAGATGCTATGCACTTTGCATTTTGTAAAAAAAAAAAAGGATCAACTACACAATAATTTTGTCAAAAGTAAGGGAGTTGATTATAATGTTGCGGGTTTGAATCCCTTTACGTGGAGAGTGTGAGACCGTGTAAACCACTGGCCCATGACCCAACAGATGCTGGCACAAAAAGATCCCTCACTGCTCAATGGTCGTCAGTTCCTATTACAGGAAATGATGTGCAGCTCTCCCCCGGCAAGCCTTCATATGAGCAAAAAATTCCTGAGAGGGACATTAAACAAAATACATTGTACTAGCAATCTTTAACATGTATAGCGTCCATCGAGAGAATTTATCTCTTATGAGATATTGCCATTTCCAGTGAAGGTTCTGTCGCGAGGGGATGCTCCGCTTAGCGGTGCCCTTGTTTGAAAAATCTTCTCAGTCTTAGGTATTAAGAAACAAACGTAATATATACATGTACAATGTATTAATATATTGAAGAAGGGTGTACATGTATCTTCCAAAATTATGAATTTCATGACCCTGTATTAGGTGTTCTGTTGTTACGGTGGGGTCTTAATGATTATAGAGTGAAAATGCATTAATTCTTTGAAAATCTTCTTTTCTGTTCATTGATATTAAACAAACTAACTACAAACATAGTGGATGATGAGCAAGGTTGCCTCTTCCAAAATTGTGAATTTCAAGGCCCCAGGGTGGTGGGTTC